GCTCCGCCGGGGCGATAGGGGCAGCCCGCGGGGGCTTTGGGTAGGAGATGGGATAGGAACAAGTCTCCATCTTCTTGCGCGGCATGTGCAAGCGAGCCCTGTTGCATCTCTCTCCTGCGGCACCATGCAGCCCAGTGTGGCACGGCCAAAGGAGGCGGTGGTTCGTAGTGAGCAAAACGCAGCAGGAACCGGGAAATTTGGGGTCATCTCTGACTTTGGAGCCTGCTTGCAAGGTGATGCTGGCCGGACATAGCCCTCAGTGTGCACCTTGCCCAAGGGGGTGATGCCACGGCTGCCCGCTGTAAAGGGAAAGGACCCAAGGATGGAATTGCTTTTATTGCAAATGCCCTGTCCCGTGCGCCTCCCCGCGGTCCTGGCTTCTCTTTTCATGCCTGGCCAGATGGCTCTGCCCTTACACACTGGCCTGCCCCCTCCACTGCTTTGGAAAAGCCCAGGAGGAGACAAACTCATGGCCTGGGGCCTGGGGGATGCCTAAGTTTCGTAGGTTTGGCTCAGGACTGCTTGGGTCTGAGAGAGCCTGTGGAAATACGTAGCTCAGGTCTGGCATCACCCGGCTTTGCACCCGGGAGCATCTCCCCGGAGGAGCCCCTTCCTCTTCCCGGGCCCTGTTCTCGCACCATCCAGATGAGTTGGAGAGAGCAGTGCTGGGGGTGCCACAGGAGCCCTTCTCCTGCCCCGTGCTGGGGCCAGTTCTGCTTCTGGGGTCCCAAAATCCTAGCGGAGATGCAGGGGGATGCTTTGGGGAGCAGGAGGGATGGGACACAGCCCCTGGCAGAAGCCCGGCCCAGTGGGGCGTAAAGGGTGGAAGAGCTCTTCTGTTCCTGTGCCACCTATGCCTGTATCTCCAGGGACTATAATCGCTGGAAATATAATGGGAATACAACGGGAATGGGAATATAACGAGCTTATGATGTGCATGCAGCTTGGACTCTGGGAGCAGGGAGGGAGCTCAGCAGCTCCTGGAGCCTCTTACCCAGCCGGGTCCATCCCCGGGAAGGGAATCTTGGCCATTTCTTCAGCTTCCTTCTGGCCTTTCGGCCTCCCCGCAGGCCAGGGCTGGCCGACGTGCTGCCTTTTGGGCTTTCCAGGCGGGCGTTGAGCCCCGAAGTCACCCAGTGAATTGGGAGCAGGATCTGGCCAGACCGCGCAGAGTCAGTGGATGAAAGCAGCTTGCGCTGAGCGAGCCCCGGCGTCGTTCAGACCGGCGAGGGAAAGCGGGGCGTTACTCACCGCCGGGTCACTGGGTGACGAAGGCGACGGCCAGGAACACCGACAGCACCGCTACGATCCCCAAGGGTGGCTGGGTGGCAGTGGCCAGGCTGGGGACCACTGGGGACCCCTGTGCACGTGCAGGAGTGCTGCGCAGAGGCCCCCCC